CTACAGTATAACAATGAAAACACGGATTCTAGGAGCACAAGTATAGCTAAAATATATTTAGACTTTTTCTAAGTAGGCTATAAGTCAAGTATAATTAAATGTCATTTTAAGTATATTTCTGAGAAGTACATAAAGCCCATTTCTGAGACGTACATAAAAAGTAGACTAAAAGTATACTTTCCTATTTTTAGTTTAAAAGAAGTATACTAATAGCACACTTGAATAAACTTTTTTTTCGTAAGGGAGCTCACAAAAATGTGTTCTAAGAACATTTGCCTAACGTTCCCATTCAATTATAAAACAGCATTTCCGAATGTTCTCTGAACATTCAAAACATCCCATTTTTTTTCGAAATTTTTCCTGGTTATGCGAACAACGTTTCCATTTTATAATTTTGACAACATAGAAATGTGTTTTGAATCTTCTGAACGTTTTCAAACAAGCATAAAAACGTTAAACTAAACCATTTCAGAAATAGAACATTCCACGGACGATGTAGGCTACAAATGTTTTTGTACTAACGTTTTGAGAACATTAAAGACCAGATGAGTTTGAACGTTCTATTAGCGTTACTGCAGAACGTTCCTAACTTTGAGAGAACCTTCAGAACGTTAGCTGGAGTTCTCTGCTAGGTTTGTATCGTGTTCAGATAAAGGATTTTCGCACGTTTTAGGGTTCAAGGAAATGTGCGTAAACCTGTAAATACAGGCTATAGTTTTCTAACAGAACGCCATCCGATTTTCTACGGTTTCTCTCTCCTACAGGTAATTTTTAGTTCATATGCCTATAGAAATACATTAAATATAAAGCTGGATTCTGTTGGGGAAAGCTTTCATATGTTCTCTTGACTGATTTCAAAGGAGACCTCGGACATTCATATAAATGTGGCCATAAATGAAACTTAGGTGAACTCCTGTTTAATGCTTCTGTTCAATGTTTTAACAGTCGAATCTGTAATTACTTTCAGAAGTGATCGATGATTGTTGTGCAGTTTTCGCGTCTTATTCTAAACCCTACGCCTACGGTTTGACCAGCGGAACCGGAACCGGGTTGTGATTGAGCAGCTTTCCTGAGTCGGTCAGTGCGAGCTCATTTTAAAAAGTCTCTACAGCTTTCCACTGAATCCTGCTTCTGTTTGCTTGCGGTTTAATATTTTGATTGCTTTCATTTATGCAGTCATTTAATTTTGTTCTCTTAATCTATCTCTGTTTACTTTTAAAACGTGCTAATGTAGCCTATTTTGTTTCTCTGTAAACTTTTAAAAGCTGCTAATATATTTATTTTATTTAAAAGTAAAAGGTACTAAAATAATGTTTATTCTCTGTAAATGTATAAATGTGTGAATATATATTTTTATAATTTATTCTGTTGACTTTCTAAAATGTCTTAAATATTGTGTCTATTATTTGAGTATTTATTTTTATGTGTGCAGTACGTGTGTGTGTGTGTGTGTGTGTGTGTGTGTGTGTGTGTTGCAGGCGTCAGTGAGCAGCAGAGGGCGCCGGTGTGTCGGGTTTTGTGTGCTTGTGTGTAAAATGTTGCTGTTGCGCTCCATCTACAGGTGAGATCAGAGAACTGCAAGTGATCAGTCCTGCTTTCATCAGATGTGTGGGAAATGTGTATCTGCAGAAGCTGATGTTCTGACTCTAAATCTGTATTGTTCAGTCCTTATGTAAATAACTTCTACATTTAGTAAACTGCTGTGCAGTTGTATTCAGCCATTTTCTTCCCCCAGTGTGTTCATCTGTTTCAGGAATCAAGGTTTAGTCAAATGATTTACTGAAGCACAGGGTCATGTAGTGCTAGTCACAGCTCGTGCGTTTAAGATGGGCTTAGACATCCAAACATAGTGCAGTAGAAAGATTTATTTCAGTATCACATTAAGGTGCAACACAACAAGATAAAGTGCATTTCAGGAGTTTTGACGCTTTCAAGTAAAGTTTCTCCGTCTGGAAGATTTTCAAGTGGGAAGACGTGTAAAACCAGCTTTGAAAAGTTTCCCATCATGCAGCAGCTTTGTATTTACACACATCAGGTTCGCCTAGAACCGTCCCGAGACGAGCACGATGGGAGGAAAGTCTGGGGGAACCAGTGATGAACATAAAGCATGAACATTGCTATTGCTCTCTAGTTTATACATTAAAGACTGGAGCGCTTGTAACTCACTACATCAGCTTATATCACCGTATCATCCGTCCGAGTTTCACAGTACAGTTCAAGAGTGAAAGTGCTTTTTCCACAAACACACATCAACATAGCACACGATCACCAAACGTCTCGACTGCATTAAACTGCATTCCCTTTTAAACGCTGGACACCAAACCACATGAACACGCTTAACATGTCAAACAAAATATGAGAAGACCCAGAATCAGCTGGTTAAGATTGCATTAGGTGCAGTGTTCTATGGAAGCCTGTTTCCAGCACAGAAAGTGACTTATCTCACAATTCAGACTTTTTATTTTATTTTTTGAAGAGTCAGAATTGCGAGATTTAAACTCAATCGGCAGATTTAAAAGTCTGAATTGCGAGAAACAAATTCTGAATTGTGAGATATAAACTCAGAATTGCGAGGAAAAAGTCTGACTTGTGAGATTTTAAACTTAGATTTGAGAGATATAACCTCGGAATTCTGAGAAGAACAGTTGTAATTCTAAGAATTCTAAAAATATGTATTTTTTATTCTGTGGTGGAAACAAAACAGAATTGTGAGATATAAACTTACGAGGGCAAAAAAGTCAGAATTTTATTTAAAAAAAAATTCTCGCAATTTTGACTTTTTTCTCAGAACTGTGAGAAATAAAGTCTGAATTATGAAAAGTGGTGATTACCTTATATTTTTTTTATTCCGTAGCATAAATGGGCTTCCATAGATTTCAGATGCATATTTTTTTTAAATAAATCATGCTTTCTCTAATTCATGAAAAACTTCACATTTTTAACACTAGAAAGCTGTCATTGCTTCGAACATAAATTCATAAAAAATATTTGATGAACCATTGAGATTTTCACCAGGATGGAAATTAATTTCAGACAGTTTTCACAGATTTCATCTTTCCATCCCTCAAAACGTTCAAAAAAATAACAGAGCTGGAAAAAAACAAATCTACTCAAATATAACTTTAAATGATCTAATTAATGTTGCATTCGCATTCAAGTTTTCAAAACTCATCTTTTAATTGAACTCAGTTATAATTTGGAGACTATAAAAGGTAGATCTGGTAGTGTCTGTTTATTGCACTGATGTGACCTGGTGAACTCTAAGTATTGTGTGTTAATCAACATTAATAAAGCCATTTTGTTTGAAGACGTGAACAGAATCTGACGGGTTTTTATGTCATATTTACAGTAACTGTACACATGAACAGAGAGAAACGTCAGTCCTTCCTGAGCTCGACTCCTTTGGTGATGTTATTTGTGCTTCACTTGTTTCAGTCTTCTTGGCATCTTAGTCTTATTTTCACTGAGGATGCGTTTAATCTCCGCTGGAAGCCTCACCAATGACCATTTATGTGGCGTGACATGAGGTCACGACCTTTAGGGTCACGTGTTCCTTGAGGCCAAACACACCCACTTCCTCCTTTGGGAAGACTGCGATGAGCAAAGTACAAAACCAATGCAGGCAAGGTGATTTATTTATATATAAATAATAGATAGATGTATTTATTCATATAAATGTATGTAAATGAATATACATTTATTTAAACGCATGTATTATATGTATACAAATGCATTACTTGTATTAAGTATATTTATAGTGAATTATTTGGTTGTATTATATAATACAGTTATATAAATTAATACATTTAGGATTTATAAATGACTACTTAAAATGTATTTATTTATATAAATGTATATGTAAATAATACATTTATTTTTAATAAATGTATTTAAATAAATATAATGCATTTTATATAACTGAATACAGTTATGTATATACACATTTATTACTAGTAAATTATATTTATGCAAATAAATTAATCAGATGTATTATACTTATAATATATATATATATATATATATAAATAAGTGTATTTTGTATTAATATGTAAATAATATATTTGAATAAATAATTTACTTGTGTAAATATTTATATCACTATATGTAAATAACATGTATTTTTATAAATTTATTCAAATATTTATAAACATTACTACATTTATTTATATTTAAGTAAATTATTCAAGTGCATTATATTTACATAATACATTTATATAAATATATACATTCTATTATATTTATTTTTATTTATATAAATTAATTGTATTATTTAAGTAGAATACATTCAAATAATTAACTTAAATATCGATATAACTATACATTTATGTATAAATAAACGCATGTACTTGTGGGAACGTCATATCTCGGATTCGTTCTTATAAGTCATGGGGTCGAGTGGTAATGCAGTCTGCAGGATGTCAAACTCGATCTGGTTGTCCATGTCTAACACGCAGAGCATGTTGTTTCCGGAGGTCATTGTGGCCGAATCCTGGAACATCTTCTGTAAGTCTGTGGGAGCGACCTCCAGCTCGTCCTCGTCCTCTCCGCAGCACAGCGCCACCTCGTTCTCGTAGCAGAAGGTGCTGGGTGAGTGCGGCGGGAGTAGCGTCACGGAGCGGGACGACCCGGATGAGCGGCGCCCGGTCCGTTCGCTCAGCTCCTTAGCGCTGCAGGCGGGCGTCGAGGGAACCTCGTAGGTCTTGTGGAAGTGCGCGTAATCCACCTGGTAACGGTCGTGGTCCTCAAAGATGACCGGCTCGAAGCGGTGACCCCACAGGATCTCGCGGGACAGGTACGAGCTACGCGTTTGCGTGGTCATTGCCGTCGCCTCCACCATTCCCTCCAGGATCACTACGATCTCGAAATCATCGGACTCCAGATCCGCACGGCTCATCCCCCACAGAGGTGAGTCCTCGTCGATTTCATGCACGATTACTAGCGGCGACACCAGGAACAGGCGGTCTGTGCCTTCGTCGTAGCCCACATTCAAATCGGTCTGCTCCAGCGGGATGAACTCGCCCTCCGCCGTCACATAGGGGCGGATGAGCTGCGCTCGAACATGGGCTTCAACGATGTGGCTCCGCCGAAGGTTCCCAACACGCCACATTAAACACAGCTTCCCGTCTCGCAACGCGATCACTGCGTTATGCGAAAACAGCAAGGTTTGGTTTCGCTTCTTCGGACGTGCCATTTTGGCCATGATGGTGCCAATCATGAAGGAGTCGATGATGCACCCAACGATGGATTGCACCACCACTGTTACGATAGCTACGGGACACTCTTCGGTCACGCAGCGCCAGCCGTAACCAATTGTGGTTTGGGTCTCGACTGAGAACAGGAACGTGCCGACGAAACCCTCGACGTGCAGCAAACACGGTTTCCACGGCTTTCCGCTGCTTCCGCGATCTTGACTTAAGTCGCCGTGCGCTAAAGACGCACTGTAGAAGATCAGGCCAAACACGAGCCAGGAGAACAGGAATGTGGAGCAGAAGATCATCAGCAGGTAGCGCCAGCGGGTGTCCACGCACGTGGTGAAGATGTCCGCCAGGTACCGCCACGGCTTGTCGTCCATGTGGGCGAAGACCACGTTGCACTGGCCGTTCTTCTTGACGAAGCGGGAGCGTAGCTGGCCTCGGCCAGATGTGGAGATCTTCCCATTGTAGCCGGTCCTCATCAGCGCTGATGCCGTGCTTGGGCTCGCCTCTCCACCGGGGGAGTGAAGCCGTCCGGAGCCGTGGCCGTTGTGGAGGCCGAGGGTGGAGATCTTCAGTCCCTCCTCATCAGGAGACACGATGCAGTACCTGACAGAGACAACAGAAGAGTTGGTGGTCAGAAAATGGGGCGCTTTTTTTTTTTTTTTACCTGAATTGAATGAACATTGAGCTGAATAATTATAGTTATTAATATTTTTAATTCACTTTTTCAGTTTTCATTTTAATTTTAGCTTTCTGTAATTTATTTTTAATTTTACTATTTCAGCTTTAGCTTTAATATTGCGAAATAGCTTTATATTTTTTCAGTTTTCATTTTAATTTCAGTTAAATTTTTAGTAATTTCATGTGCTTTTGTCTTTTTTAATATTACTATTTAGAATAATGTATCCGAATTACAGTTTTATTTTTATTTATAAAAACATATATAGTTATTCATATTTTGAATATTTCAGTTTTTGTTTTTAGCTCATTTTTTATTATTTTCACATGCTTTTGTTTTTATTTTTATTTACTTTTAAATATTACTATTTGAGTTTATGTAATATTTTTATTTTTATTTTATCCGGGTATGTTTTATTTTATTCTATTTTAGCTATTTAGGTATATATCAAGTAACTTTTAATCAATTGTTTTTAATAGTTTTAGATAACCCTGATTGACAGTTATTCAAATTGATTTAATCCTGAGTGAATAATGACAATATTGTTGTCTGTAGAGCTGTTTTACAGCAGAATTTCAATTTGTTTCATAATTGATTAATTTTGCTACACTGTTATTTGCCTTTTAATTTCTGTGCAGCTGCTTTGAAACTATCTGTATTGTAAAAAGCACCATATGAATAACTAAAGGTGTGAAATGTGGGTTTTTGGCGCTGCAGGAGGATGGGTGAAGCGCTGTAATCTGATTGGAGCGTTTGTTCTTTCCAGTGACCGGTCTAAAGGACACACACTCACTCCAGATAAACCATGAGTCACTAATGCGTCTCTCTGCAGAAACCCTCCTGATGAACCTCCCAAACCTGTACTGAAGGTGCTGTCAGTGGGATCAGGACTGTCTGTTTCTCCATCGTTTCCCTGCCTCTCTGTTCAGATGTGTGTGTTGTGAAGGTACGAGGGCCTCAGGTGTGCATTACCTGCCCCTCATCTGGGATTATGAGGGAAGGCCAGTCATTTAGGCATATCAGGATTGCGGTCAGTGAAGGTTTAGGGATTATAACCTGAGCTCTATCTCTCTCACACACACATACTAATAAGCAAATAAATAAACAGTCTGCCAGTGTTACTGGCTCTCAATCACCTGCTGATGTTTGGTGGAGCACATGAGTGAGAGTAAATGTGTCTGAGCCAGTGAAACTTCACATAAAACAGTATTTTCAAGCATCCTCTATCACTGTTTCTAGTGTATTGAACAAAAGAAGTGTAAAAATCTGTGGTTGAATAAAATTGTTAAAACTTTGGCATGAAGCTTTTTGTTAACAGCTTTTTCTTCTTTTTCACAGATTAACCACTTATAATACTTTTTTTCTATCAATTTTATTCACCTGTAGTCTCTTGTCTTAAATTATTTAAGACAAGCGACTACAGGTGAATAAAATTGAGAGAAAAAAAGTATTACAAGTTCAATATCCAAATGGGGCATTATCTATAGTTAAAGGTTTGCATATATTCTATAACATAAATCTGAAAATTGAATAAAACCAGGTTCAAAATTTGTTTGATTTTGTTGACATATTAGAGTTAAAGGTTTTTACAGAGGGGATTTGGGGTTTTTCTTTTCATCACTGCATAAACCAGAAAATACTGTTAACAGCCAGGAAAAACATACATTTTTGCCACGTTTTTAGGAGTAAACTGTTATATAAATTAGTGTGAATTATATATGAACAACCCCCTCAGTAAAAACCTTCAGAATATAGATAGGAAAAAAACCGTAAAGTTTGGTGTATGTAAATGCTGCTCAAGTGGAGAAACAAACTCACAGTCTATAAAGAGATGCATTTTTGCCACGTTTTTAGGAATAAAATGTTATATAAATCAGTGTGAATCATATATGAACAAATCCTTCGGTAAAAACCTTCAGAATATAGATAGGAAAAAAACTGTAAAGTTTGGTGACTGTAAGGGCTGCTGAAGTGGAGGTAAAAACACATTTTGAGGAAAAAGCCTGAAATTTACAGACGAAAAATATATAAAGTGCAATAATACAACCAGTCAAATGGCATATGAATAAACCCTTCAGTAAAATCCTTCAGAATATAGAAAGGAATAAAACTGTAAAGTTTGGTGTATGTAAGTGCTGCTGAAGTGGAGAAAAAACTTTTAAAAATATGTACCGAGATGGAAATCTATAGACGCAAATAGATAAAGTACAATAAAACAAACACTTAAATGTGTATTTTGGATGTTTTTTTTCCACTAATCTGAAACAAGACATGATATGGAAGCAAAATAGCCCATAGTCTTGCCTTAAAGAGCAAGATGCTGTCCATCCTCATCCTCTTTAATTGGTCTAAGATGGTCTTGTTTTTAGAGAATCAGCATTAAACCCATATCATTTGACTCTGAGAGTTCATACTGATTCACAAACCAGCTGAGAAAATGACCACAAACTTTTGAGTTGAACCCTGTAGTTCTACATTTGGCAGCATTTTACCGTTTATTCTACAGATTTTAGGACTTAAATGGATATTTAACCCAAAAAGGATCATTATGTCATCATTTACTCTCCCTTGTGTCATTCCAAACCTGTATGACTTTCTTTCTGAACTTTCGGAACCAAACAAACAACATAGGAACCCATTGACTGTATGAACAAAAAAAAAACTCAAAATATCATTATCTGTGTTCCAAAGTCATAAGGTTTGAGCGACTTGAGTAAATTATCACAGAATGATATGTGACCCTGGAACACAAAACCAGTCATAATTCATAACTCAATTTTCAAAAATGAAAATAAAGAGATTTATACATCATCTGAATAAATAAGCTTTCCATTGGTGTATGGTTTGTTAGGATAGGACAATATTTGGCCTAGATACAACTATTTGAAAATCTGGAATCTGAGGGTGCAAAAAAATCAAAATATTGAGAAAATTGTCTTTAAAGTTGTCCAAATGAAGTTCTTAGCAATACATAGTACTAATCAAAAATTAAGTTTTGATATACAGGAAAATAGGAAATTTACTAAATGTCTTCATGGAACATGATCTTTACTTAATATCCTAATGATTTTTGGCATTAAAATAAAAATCTATAATTTTGACCCATACAATGTATTTTTGGCTATTGCTACAAATATACCCCAGCGATTTATGACTTTTGTGCTCCAGGGTCACATATTGTTTCTGTGATCTATGCCTTGAATAAAATTATTTCATTACTCCTCAGGTGTGTGGTGTTACTGTGATGGAAGAACCAAAGACTTCAGTAAACAAACATGAACACCATCAGATGTTCACAGGGCTCTTGATGATGGGTAAAACCTCTTTATGCTTTATTATTTGATATTTGTCATGTGTCTCTGTCATTATTTGTATTTGTTACTTGATTAGCTTTTGAGTCCAAGATAAATTTCCTAGGAAAAAGGAAATGTTTTAAACAGAACATAGTTCGAAACTCTCAAAAAAAAGAGACACAAATTACATCACATATACTGACTCATCCAAATGATTTTTATAATATTAGAAATAATCAAAACTGAGTAAACTAAGCATATTTTTGTGCATTATTTTGACCCATAAACATGATTGCTCCCACACATTCTCTTCTTACCTGCTGGCTCTGTTGGCTCCCATGCTGTACTTGATCTTCAGCTTGTGTGTGTGTGCTTCTCCAGTGACACGACAGAACAGTGTTGTCCGTTTACCCAGAAAGATTGGGGATTGGCATCCTAATACACCTGGATCTACTGTACGTCACACACTGCAGACACAGAGATGCGTCAGTCAAGATGCTATGCAGAAAGTTCAGGCTGATGTGATGTGCACAGGAACTATATTTGTGTTCTGGTTTGGATGCTGTGATCTGGGTCAAAGCAGCTGTTAAAATAGCCCACACACACACACACACACACACACACTCAGATGTAGGCTAACAGCCATCACTGATTTGCAAGTTCTCTAAGTGTTCAGCTCTATATTTAGACTTATATTTTTAGATTCAAAAAGTATTTAAACATTTAATCTGATTGTCTGTACATTTAAATGACAGAATATGTGATATGTATATATATATAATAAAAGTATATTAAAATATAATTTTTTTTAAATAGAAAATATTTTTTTAATTTTATTTTACAATTATTTGAATAAAAATACTCATGTTTGATTGGGTAAATCTGTGCAGTGATTGATAACTTCTAATCTGAATGTCAAAAATAATTGTATTATGTGTTTAGAGTTTGTCATTGTGTTTGTAGTGCTGGATGTTTGGTCTTATTGTGTATGAAATATATAAAATACATTCTAAAAAGTAATTTGGGGGATCTATCACTGCAACTTAATAAATTAGATTTTCTTTTTATCTTCCAATCATGCATTTAATTAAAACAGAAGTTGCAAACATTATTTTGATTTTGAGTTCTGTTGACATAATGTTGATCATTACATTAACTTAATAGTGTGTGCAATTTAACCTGAAATATCTGTATTGAAATGTAAGTTGTAGTAACTTAATTAAATTGTTTTGATATCTTTAGAAATTGTCCATTGGATTTCTAGTTCCCAGCATGCTTTGCATAGGATTAGATAAGGAGATTAAATGTTAAAATTAACTGTTGTTTCATGTGTTTTTAGTGAAGGGAAGACTTGTTAGTATTTAATGCTGTTATGTTTGACATTTAAAAGAGTTTCTGTTAGGTTGGGTTAAAGTGTTCACCATTGTGTTGAAGAGTAGAGCTAATGTGACAAGTAATATCTTACTTTTTGGTCAAATTTACATGGTGTCGGAGTTGATTTGAACAGAAGTAGATCAGATTAATTGGTTCCAAGGCCAACAGTTCATTTGAATTAAGTTGAAACAATTTGGAGCAACATTATTTTGAGTAATCAACTTCAAAATTTGTATTTCTGCTCAAAATGTGTTTGTTGGTTAAACATAATTTCATTAGAAGCTGTCATAACTCAAAAAAATGTTAGGCTCTTCCCGTTTTTAGAGTGAACTTGTACATTTTGTAGGTTGTGTGTTTATTGTGTATTTTATATTGTGTTTACTGTCGCTTCATGACACTGTAAATGACAGTGAAGTGATCTGATTATATCTACAGGGCAGTTTTCTGTTTCTCATGATCGTGGTCTCATTACGATACACTCATACTACTCATATACTCATACACACACACACCTCTAAACTACTGTTTGAAAAGATTAGTATGTCTTGTGATGAATTGTCAATTTAAATGACATATTAAATAGTTTGAGGAGAGAGTGGGATTGTGGGAGATGCAGGACAGACGCATGTGACTCAATAACTGCTCTTTACAATGAAAATGGACTTAATCTTTGTTACACAACATAAACACACACACACTTAATCCCTGATCACCTGTGTGTGTGTGTGAGTGTGTGTGTGTGTTTGTGTTTGTGTGTGTGTGTGTGTGTGTGTGTGTGGAGACGTTTCTTTCTTAATTCCTAATCCAGTAAATTATATTTGAATAATCTCTTCATCTCTCATTTTTAACAGTGATATGATGCAGATCCAGAGAAATGAGCCCTGAAGATCCTGCGCTGTAATCTGAGACGTCCGTCTGTCCGTGTGTGTGGGATTAATATGACAGCACCACACACACACACACACACACACACACACACACACACTGACAGAAGGTGAGTTCAGACTCAAGCAGATTTAATCTTATATATTTAATATTCTTTACTAGATAAATGATGAAGCTCTTAATGTGCTTCACTAAGAATTTGTCTGAAGAACTTGAAGAAATCATGATTTTGTGTCATTTCATTTTCTCATAAGGCTTTATTTATTGTGTTTGTACAGTGGTCCCAACAAGTATTTAATCTCCTCAAGTCACATTTTCTCATGTCTGACGCCATTCATTAGATCAAGTGTGTATCTCAAAGGCTGCAGGATCTTTCTCTTCAGTAACAGCTGGTGTTTTGCTGATGTTTACCTTCATGCACTCGGCAGACACTCAAGGTATGCATTTAATCGGTTCATCTGTGGGAACTGAACCCATGAACTTGTTGGCATTGATAGTGCCAAGATCAGTTTGTAGTTCCACACTAACTCACATTAACATAATCCACCAATGTTGTCATCTTAAACATCTAATGTTGTAGCATTTCAAACCAACAACTTTCTGACTATAGCCTATATTTAGTTTGTGCATGTTTCTTTATAATAAATGATACAATTGACGTAAGCGTGATTTCGGTATTCAGATTCACTTTTTGTGGCCACTGTAGTTTGGTATATTGGCTGAAATAACAGCATTGTGTGTTTTGGGTAAGTCTATAGACTTTTTACACCCACTTTTGACCGTTTGAACCATATTTATACCATTTGTTCATTTACAAAAAAAGTGCTGTTCTTGATAATGTATTATATCACAGAAATACCGTGATACTTTGACATATACAGTGGTACTGAATGATTAACATATTCACATATACCGCAGTATTTCCATGGCACTGTATGTAAATACAAAGGTGGTGTCCAAACTATAACTATAGTTGAGCCGTGGTACATTTCTGTAAGTGTGGAAACATTTTGTTTTTGTCAGTGCATTAAGCTCGTATTGATCGGGGGAATCAAATGCAGTCACGCGGCAGATTCGGGAAACGAGAACTCCATTTTCGCGCGCTTTCAGTTTGAACAGTTTTGTCGTTAATTACTAGAGTGTTCTGTAGTAAACAGAGTGTAAAACTCGTCAGAAAACGTTTAATCACGTCGAACTGACCGCAGGGGTTTCATCATGCAGCAAATGTTCGGGATTGAGACTGTGACAGAAAATATGACAAAAAATATTTAAACAGGTAGGTTTCGGCGCGAGCGGTAAATCCGGTAAAGCTCCAGATGCGGCGCGCGATCAGTGCGTGATCTCAAACAGAATAATCTCTTTTCATTACAACATCAAGTTTCTTTTCTCTGTTTCAGCCGCATTTATCCTCCCCTCATCTGCCCATCCGCCATCGATTTGATCTGCAAGTCAGTCCTTTAAATGTGTATATAGCTGTATTAGCTACTATTGAAAGGTATAAATTATAGCCTAGTTCATTTAAGAAATGTGAAACGTACATAAAGTAGGCTATAAGTTATAACATTAACTTGTGTTTCTGCATGACTCCTATTTAAAACAATATAATGATAATAATAATTGGCATAAATTAATAATAAATTACGCAGATTGTTTGACCATATATAGGTATTTACACTGTATTTAGCGACATCTTCATTAAAAAAAAGCCAGTAAAATAATTCCTCATGAATGTTGTATGGAAATAAACTGGGGGGGGGGGACTTTAATAGCGATTCAGACATTAGTATCATCAGACAAACTTACTACACACATGAATAAAGATATGAAGAATTGCTCACCGTATGAAAGCAAATATCTAATCTGTAAATGTGTCTTCTGCTCCGTTCGCTCGTCCTGATTTCCTGATTTCTTTCTTTCTTTCTTTCTTTCTTTCTTTCTTTCTTTCTTCTATTCCCCGAACACACCCATCTTTAACACGACATTACCAGCGGCTTGTTTTCGTAGTTCGTGTTTTCTTGTAGTTTTCGCCGGTTAATCCCTCCGGTCTCACGCGGTATTTCCGAGCGGTCTCGCGCTCATGTGGGTGACCGGCGGATAACGGAGGAGGAGGAGGAGGAGGAGGAAGATGTGAGCCTGTCACTGCGATTATATTCACTTCAGATTGATGTCAAGTGAAATTCAGTCCAAATCAGACGTGATGGATATCAGAAGGCGCTCTTGTGTGAGTTGTCTTGATTGAATTATCTTTGTTTTTCCTTCTGTCTCTGGGATAACAGACTTTTAATCTTTTTCATGTTCCTCAGCGTTAGCAGATTTTCTGCTATTCTTAGAGGGATTGTCTCTCTCTTCCTCCTCTTGTCAAAGTATTTTGGTGTCCAAAACCAAATGTTCTCCCGCATCTCTTTCTGTCTCCCCTGGGTAACGTGTTCATGCTCTGGGTGTTCATAACTCTCTGAACAGTTTTTTCAAATTCTGTAAAAATATGACCAATCTAAACCACCAACGTACTGTTAAAAATACAGGTGATTTCACAGCAATAGCCTACAATACAAGTACTTTTGCACCGTTCTGTGAACAGTTCTTAAAATAACCATTTATAAAACAACATTTTAATTATTTGGAGAACCTTATTCACTATAAAGGACCTTTCGTGCAATGGAAAGATTCCACGGATGTTAAAGGTTCCAATAAAAACCTTTATTCCGAACGGTTACGAACACAACATTTGACGGGTTTACCACAACTTTCAACCGTGAAAGTCTGTGAACGCTGGTTTTATGACCTCTGACCTGTATTTCTGTCCTGATTATTTCGTTTTAGATATTTGAGAGCGGCCACTGCATGGGTTCTATGGAGACGCGCGGTTGTTGCGCGAGCTCTTATTTTCTGCGGCGGAGGCCTGGATGAGGAGGAGGTGGGGAATCTGACAGTGGGAGTGTGTGTGGGAGAAAACACCGAGAGAGACGAGCTGAGACGAGAGGAGGAGGGAGGCAGGATCCTGCTAGGACATTATCATGGAAAGAGGCCGCATTTAACTGGAAGACAAACAAATAATGCTGTTATTGTATTAATGCACAACGTAAAGATATAGCCTACATTTTTGCCAGCGAAATTTCGCACACAGTGTGTGTGTGTGTGTGTGTGTGTGTGTGTGTGTGTGTGTGTGTGTGTCGACCAGCGCTAAATGTAGCAAATGCAGTCATTTTGACGCAATGAAGCATGATGAGGAATTAAAATATGACAGATACAGGTGCACTTCATAACTAAAATGTTAACAAGTTTAATGAATTGTTGTTTTGATAGGCAATGCAGAAGAGACGCTCAGACAGACAGACAGACAGGTGATCCTCTCTGACTCAAACGGGACGCGACCCAAAACCTCAATACCAAACACACACACACACACACACACACACACACAGAGACAGGGTCGATCGCGGCAACATGAGGTCAGAGGGTGAAGGAGGACACAGAGGCCAGAAACAAACTTAATGCATTTTCACTCTCATATGAAAGCCGAAGATGACATCTTTAAGAATATTCGCATCTGTCAATCACTCCGTCATAAGTTCCGCGTAATTGTTGAATATGAAGACAACCTTCAGATCACATCTGCTTCTCAAACATGTCTTAAATTACCGTGAGAAAGACACAGCACAAGAGAAGAGAGTGATTGTTAGAAGCCAGACATGTGAGTGTGAGTGTGTATTAATAGCCTGTAATCGCCTCTGGGCGTCCTGATAAATTCCCACGACCTCTGATGGACATCATTCTCTCTCTCTCTCTCTCGCTCTCTCTCTCCCTCTCTCTCTCTCTCTGGCTTGTCTCGTTTTTCGTTTTCTCCCGTTTTGCACACTATACTGCCGTGTTTCGCCGTTATGTAAAATAAACCCGACCCTGTGACAAACGCTGTGAGATCACAGAACAACACGTGCAGCGTCGCTAAATATGAAAGAATGCCCAGTTAATCCACTTTTATCTCAAACAAGCTTTGCATATTACCTGGCTATTAGTTATAAACTCTTCAGCATTATCATTATCATTATTAATACAATTAACGTTAAATCTAACTATTCACCATTTAACATTACTTGAAATAGGCTACATTATTCTTAAAGTTTTAAAGTGTAGTTTTTATATGAACCATAAATCAATAAATCATTGTTAAATTACATCTGAAGTGTGTTTCTGTTTGTGTAAGTTTGTCGTGCATGTTTTATGTCATGTGCAGCGTGTGTTGTGGGTGTATTCTGTGTTTTTAATCTGTCATCAGTATTGAGGGAGTTGTAATGTCCTCTAGAGGAAAATACTGGTACATACACTCACACAGAGTTCACGTTTGACTTCAGGATCGCTTTTTATTCATTATTTTGTTGCTCGTCTAATGCATTACGTTTTTATAACTCATTGATTGCTGCATAGTTTATTAAATTGTGCTTTTATTTAATTGTACTTAATTCTTCAGTATTAGGCCTACTATTTTGCCTTTATCCATCTGAGCTATAGTGATTTTACTTTACATGCCATATTTTGCATTATTCACATATATATTATTCAGAGAGTGAGAGAGAGATTTATAAGCTGTGATTTGCATGTAGCCAAAGCAGCGGATCTGTGTGGTCTGTTTCACAGCAGTTTTCCATCTGAAGTCACAAAACGACAAGCTAAAATACACATACAAAGGATAATTTTGCATCTGTTATGGTAGAAATAGTAGACTGATAAGCCAAAATTTGAGCGGTGAGTAAATGATAGGCTACTATAAAACAACATTTACTGTGAGATAGTGAAATCTGCTTTTTCACATGAATTTACAGCGCTCTCTTCATAGAGTCATGCAGTCCAGCTGATCTGCAGAATTTTTTTTTCATAATTCACTAACAGACATGCATTTTGATTTTGAGTGCACAGACACAACTCGGTAGTCGTCGGTTTTTGTTATGTTGTTTTAGCTGAAGCGTTTCCCCTTTAGATGCGCGCGCCGCAGGTGCTGTGACGCGGCGAGGAAACCCGGATCCTGGTCGAGCGGACCGTCAGCCACGTCACCAATCAGCGGCGCGAGCGCAGCGCACAGTCCAGCGTAGAGTTGCAGTAAAGTATCACGGATTCTATTTGGTACGTCTATTAAATTAATACGAGATTCATGCTTGAAAGACCGGATGACGCGCACGCGCTGAGCAGCAGAAAGAAAGAGTTTTTTAAAATGTATTTATCATTATTATTTCTGCAGGACGAACATCTGATCTGAGAACAGCTTCAAGCTCTTTAAATCCAGCGCTGATTACTGATCGATAACATGAATATCTTCCGACTGTCTGGAGATGTTTGTCATCTGGTCGCCATCATTATTCTGTTCCTGAAGATCTGGAGATCCAAATCATGCGCAGGTACATGCAGAAACACACATGTGCACAGCAGTGCTGTGTATTATTGAGTGTTATTGTGCGCACTGCTGATCGAACCGGACTAGAGAACGTGAATGTGAAGCTTTTTTTTTTTTTAGAATTGATTCACATATGAAAACGCTTGACACATTTTAAACGCGCGACTGTCGGGCTGTAAATGATGTTAAGCGTTTGCTCGCGTGTAGTTTTCATTGTGTTTACGTGGCAGCTGATTGTGTGCATGTTTTTAAGGTTCTTCAGGGGTTCCTTGAGGAACTCAAGATCCTCTTTCGGCATTTATGAGTCTGCTGTGTCCTGTTCTGTTCTGAAGTTTGTGTGTGTTTCAGGTATTTCTGGGAAGTCTCAGGTGCTGTTCGCACTGGTCTTCACCACCAGATATCTGGACCTGTTCACATCCTTCATCTCCGTCTACAACACCATCATGAAGGTAAAGACCATGAAAGCCCATTTCCACCACATAAGGGAAAACAAATATTTGGTAAATGATAACAATTATTTACATAAAAAGTCATAATTATGATATAAAAAGTTGAAATTATGAGATACTACGTCAAAACTATTACATACGACTCATAATTCTGAGATAAAAGTTGAAATCAGATAAAAAGTCAAAATTATGACATACGGAGTTATAGTTGATATTAAAAAGTCAAGACATAATTATGATAAAAACAGTGACATTCAAAACTATCAGATAAAATTCAGAATGGTCAAAGTCAAAATTATAAGATACTAAGTCATAATTATGAGATAAAAAGTCAAAATTGACATAGTATGATATTAAAAAGTTAAAATTGAGATCAAATCATAATTAAGTCATAAGTATGAAATAAAGTGTAAAAATGATCACAAACTAAGTCATAATTATGATATTAAAAAGTAGAAATTGAGATTAAGTCATAACTATGACAAAAACAATAAGTCAAAACAGATAAAAAGTCAAAATTACAAGATGACATTGCCATAATTATGATATTAAAAAGTTGAAACTGAGATAATCATCATGACAAAAACAATAGTTTAAAAGATGAAGTCATAATCAAGACATTTTTTTTAATTATGACTTTGTCTCACAATTATGACTTGGTATCTCAATTTTGACATTTTATCTCATAATAACAACTTTTTGACAATTTCAACTATGTACAGTATCTCACAGAAGTGAGTACACCCCTCACATTTTTGTAAATATTTTATTATATCTTTTCATGTGACAACACTGAAGAAATGACACTTTGCTACAATGTAAAGTAGTGAGTGTACAGCTTGTATAACAGTGTAAATTTGCTGTCCCCTCAAAATAACTCAACACACAGCCATTAATGTCTAAACCGCTGGCCACAAAAGTGAGTACACCCCTAAGTGAAAATGTCCAAATTGGGCCCAAAGTGTCAATACCATTCACACCTGAGACCTTGTAACACTAATGAGTCACATGACACCGGGGAGAGAAAATGGCTAATTGGGCCCAATTTGGACATTTTCACTTAGGGGTGTACTCACTTTTGTGGCCAGCGGTTTAGACATTAATGGCTGTGTGTTGAGTTATTTTGAGGGGACAGCAAATTTACCCTGTTATACAAGCTGTACACTCACTACTTTACATTGTAGCAAAGTGTCATTTCTTCAGTGTTGTCACATGAAAATATATAATAAAATATTTACAAAAATGTGAGGGGTGTACTCACTTCTGTGAGACACTGTACATCATAATTGACTTTATCTCATAATTATAACTTGGTGTCTCATAATTTTTAATTTTAATGACATAATTATGATGTTTTATCTCACAGATATGACTTAGTATCTCATAGTTTGTCAAAGTTATGATTTACCGCTGCACTTTTTTTTTTTTTTTTGCAGAAATGGTCTTCCATAAAAGACAAACGCACACACAGCTGATCTTGAAACTGTTGTGATTGCTCAGTAGATGTCTGCACTGAATTGTTATCATAGTCCACCCATTGAAATCATATATTATTATTTGTTTAAACTCATGCAAAGCTGTAGGACATAGTGTGCATGACAAACCCACAGCTAGTTTCCTGAAGCTGCCAAACCACAGACACTCAAACTACGTTCCTGCAGCTCAACTGGTAGAACAGGGCGCTTGCAACACCAGGCTGTGGGTTTGGATCCCAGGGAAAGCCACTGGGGATGGGAGCTGTCTGACAGAGGAGTGATTGTGATCTGTCTGTCTCTCAGGTGGTGTATCTGGTCCTGGCGTACGCCACCGTCAGCCTCATCTTCTTCCGCTTCAGGAACTCATACGACTCTGAGAGCGACTCGTTCCGCGTGGAGCTCCTGCTGGTGCCGGTGGCCGGTCTGTCGTTCCTGGAGAACTACGCCTTCACGCCGCTGGAGGTCAGAGCTCAACACGCAGCGCTTTGGATGTTAAGATGAAACACTGTCATGACAGATCTCTGTGCTTGTGTAGATACTGTGGACGTTCTCCATCTATCTGGAGTCGGTGGCCATCCTGCCACAGCTCTTCATGATCACGAAGACGGGCGAGGCTGAGTCCATCACCACACACTACCTGTTCTTCCTGGGCCTGTACCGTGTGCTGTACCTCGCTAACTGGGTGTGGCGCTATCACGTGGAGGGATTCTTCGACCAGATCGCCGTGGTGTCCGGCGTCGTCCAGACCATCTTCTACTGCGATTTCTTCTATCTGTACTTCACCAGAGGTCAGCAGACATCTCACAACTTTCATCTTAGCTCTGTTTTCATGAAATGATCAGAAGATGAATTAGAAGATGATTTATTGATTGATGTTATTTCTTTGTATTTCGTTTTATCTATCTATCTGTCTGTCAATGCATCCGTCTGTCTGTCTATCTGTTGTCCATCTGTCTATCCGTCCCTTCATCTGTCTGTCTATCTATCTATCTATCAATGCATCCATCTGTCTATCTGTCCCTTCATCTGTCTATTTATCATTCTGTCTGTCTGTCCGTCCATCTATCTGTCTATCCTTTTATCTGTCTGTCCATCCTTTTGTCTGTGTGTCTACTTGTCCAACTGTCCCTCCATCTGTCTGTCCATCTATCCATCCTATTCTTCTATCCGTCTGCCTGTCCATCCATCCTTCTGTCTGTCTATCCATTCATCTGTCTGTCTGTCCATCCATCTATCTGTCCTATCCGTCTGTCTATCCATTTGTCTATCTGTCCTATTCGTCTATCTGTCTGTCTGTTTGTCCATCTATCTATGTCTTATTTGTCTATCCGTCTGTCTGTCTATCCATCTGTCCATCTGTCTATCTGTCCTATTCGTCTATCCATCTGTCTGTCTATTTGTCCATCTATCCATCTGTTTGTGTTTGTCCATCTATCTATCTGTCCTATTCGTCTATCTGTCTGTCTGTCGATCTATGGTTGTTCCGTCTGTCTGTCTGTCTGTCTGTCTATCTATCTATCTATCTATCTGCAGTGCTGAGAGGAAGTGGAAAGATGAGTTTGCCAATGCCGGTGTGAGTTGTTGGATTAGGCCACACCCAGTCGTGACATCATCACCGGCCGCTGCTGTAGTTCTTGTGTTTGAGCTGCATGTGTGGCTGGTGTAATCGTGCCTTACAGTGATCAGATCTGCTGGACGTGTAGTACATTAGTTTTTTTTTCTGTAGGGTGACCATAACGTGCCATTTTTCCCGGACAGAGAGCAGACACTGTCACACACTGATCGGTCTGCGCAGCACCTCTTCCAGTCGAACACACTTAACATGTACGTGTTTTTGCATCGCTTTGACCGTTCTCTGTAGCTCCCACCTTCTCACGTGCCGCGATTGGTCGATCATGTACAATGCCTGCATGTTATTGGTCAAACTACTTTTAGATCATTACCTTCAGCAAGTAAGAAAACAGGAAAACCTGGCTATTTTAGGCAACATATAAATCCTGCCCAGGACGTGTCCAGGAAAAATGGCAAGCATGGTCACCCTAGTTTATGACCAACTATAAATAGTTTTTCATTCTGTAAAGGGATGTTTGATTGGGATCTTTGAGTGTTTTTGTGCCAATGTACCCGTGAAGAACATGAATGTTTGTATAAACCACATTTCAGTCTGAGAATGACATATAACAGATGTCTGGCAATAGCATAATGATTTTTTAATGAAGATGGGCAGTTTATCTGCCGTGGTTTTTATAAAGCATGCCAATAAAGAGTTTCTGTCTCTGCGGAGCTAACGCTTGTGTTCATGAGAGCGAATGAGCACAGAAACACACTCCAGTCCATCTGTGTGTCACGGCTCTTTATTTCCTCATTCTTTATTAATTCATCAAGTGAATCAGACATTCGTGATCATTAAACAGACGTTATTATTCAAGCTGCCATAAATCAAAATAAAAAAATATTTTGTGTTTTTAGCACAATTAAAATAATTTCCATTCTCATCCTGTCTAAACATAAAATCGGCATAAATTAAGTACAACTAAATATGTACATGTATGTATAGTTATACTGTGTGTGTATATAATCATAATTAAATATATATACTTTTAAATACAATTTTAAATATGCATTTTAGTATGTTTCGAAAGTGCTTTATTACATATATCACAAAACAATATTAATGGTCTTAAAATAGACTATAGACTAAAATATATAATTTTGGTGGAATTGTCCTGGACATTTTGTGAGATTTATTATTTACTAAAAAAATAGATAAAATTATTGGGGGGATTCATGCATTATCTCGTAGTGCAGACGTTTGATCACATCTACAGGAAGTGATGATGTTGTGTATTTTTATCTGCTTATATTGTATTGCTAAAGGTGAAGTGTGTGTGTGTGTGTGTTAGCGCAGGAGCATCTTCTTCTGTTTGTACAGGACTTTGGCTCCCTCTCTCACGGCTCCGCCCATCACTTTAGCGGCGGTTGTGATTGACAGCGGCGTGGAGGCCATGGCCGCCACCCTCTGCACGGCTTTGACCTTTTTCCCTTTGCCCTTCCCTTTCTCCATCACGCCGGACGCTTCCACCGCACCGCGGCCCATGGCCGTCAGCAGCTCGTACCAGAACAGACGCTCCGCCCTATTCCTCGCCTCCTCATCCTCCTCCTGATCATCTCCCAGAATCTTCTGCTGCATGTGGCGTACGGCGGAGTCAGCCTGCAGCAGCATGTCAGCAGTGTAATGCGCTCCTGCGTTACGCTCCATCAGCAGATCGACCTTCTGCAGCAGCTTGCTGACCTGTGACCTCTCCTCGAGACCTTTAGTCAAGTCACATTTATTTTTGTAGTGCTCCTCACAATACACACTGTTTCAAAGCAGCTTCTTGTTAATTAATATCTTAATATGTTCTTACCTTATAGTTGCATTTATCAGATTAGGGCTGCATGATAAAATAGTTACACTTTGCTGCGATACAATAAATCATGGAGTTGAGATTTTCTTATATCTCGCAATTCTGACGTTTTTTTTAATTCTGAGTTTATATTTCACAATTCTGTCTCGCAAATGTGAGTTTATATCTCACAATTCTGAATTATCTTGCAATTCCGAATTATCTCGCAATTATGAATTATTTCGCAATTCCGAATTATCTCACAATTCTGAATTATCTCGCAATTCTGAATTATCTTGCAATTCCGAATTATCTCACATGATCTAAAATGCTGCCTTCGGAGGCAGGAAGGCATCAAGGCACGTCCGAATCCAAATTCTGCTTCACTTCCTATCTCCGGAGGTACCTTCTGATCGAATTTTGAAGGCAGCACAGATGTATCCTTTGCTGCCTTTGATATCCCACAATCCTGTGCGTTCCATTCCATGACGGTTGAGCTAAAAAATAGAGATGGCGTCTGAAAGTTGCGTTTGGTGGTCAGTTCGTGTGTAAATGTATATTTCTGACTAACTTTCTGCACTTTTGATGTTATTTCTAGCGAGAAATCAGTATTATAGTAATTATGTATTTGTTTAGTTATCAAAACTCGTTCTATTTTGTTGTAGATCATTAAACTGTTACGCTGCCTCAGAAGCCTGTCCGAAATCAGTTTCACGAGGTGCCTTCGTGCAAAAACGCTGCCTGCAAAGTCATTGCTTCATACAGCAGCAAGTCAGCTGCCTAAGTTTTCGGATGCAGCCAAAATGTTGCAATTGCAATTATCATAATTAATTCAATATGTGGCCGGTACCTTTAGTGTTGTCAAACACGTGATAACCGCCTGCGCAGCTGCACGCAAACTCCCATAATTCCTCGCTCTCCTTCAGGAAGTCGCCCGCGGGCTTCGCTCCGAGCGCGTCGCCGCACGTGATCAGGACGACGGTAAAACCGAGCGCCTGCGGTCCGAACGCGGCACTAATCCAGTCCAGAGCGGCGCTGCTCTCGCGCGTCACGCGTCCGGCCCGCAGCACCAGCAGGAACGCGTGCGGTCCGGGCGCGCTCAGCTCCACGCAATGGCTCAGCTCCGCGCGCACCTCATCCGGGCCCAGGCAGGTGTGGAAGAACCCCGGGGTGTCAATCACACGCAGGCTCCGCCCATCCGCCACGCCCTCTGAACGCTGGCAGCTTTTGGTGACGGACACGGGCGACACGTCCGCCCAGAACGCGGAGCGACCCAGGATCGTGTTTCCAGATGAACTGCGGCCTGAACCCGTCTGACCCAGCAGAACCATCCGGACCTCAGCGGAACCGCCTAGACGACAGACACGACACGTGATTATAATATAGTTTATGTAAAACGTTTTTATTCAAGAGTGTTTTCATGAATATTCTGCAGGTCTCCACAGAACTAAAGCTGATAAAGTAATTAATATGAATAAAAATGCAATAAAAAGTACTATTATTAAATGTATAGTCATTCAAAGAAAAAAAAATACATATAAAAATGGGAAAAATAAATAAGACTTAAAAAGGCATGATATATATATATATATATATATATATATATATATATGCAATTTCTTTTCCATTGCAGATTTTCTGGGATTGTAGCCCTGCTATAAAAAACTGCTGTTAAGAAATGTATAGTCATTCAGAGTGAAATACTGATAAAATGCATGCAAATAAATAAATTAAATAACAAAATGCAATAAAATAAAATGTAAATACAGAAATAAGTTTTTTTAGACAGACTTCTAATTATAGGTATTCTTATTAGAATTCTTCAAAATACAAGGATTTTTTTTTAAAGCATAGGCTAGGATAGGTTTTATTTTATTATGGCAAACTGATTACAACAGTCTATGCTTGTAAATCAGATTTAGTTTGTATCTGGAGATCTGCAGAATATTAATGAAAAGAAAAAATCTCCTAAATAAAGTAATTCGTAGGAAAATAACAATACAATAAAAAAAAAATGACATAAAACTTCACAAAATGCGGGGCAATGCTTTCAAATAAAGTAAATAAAAAGGAATGCAATGAGAAATGCTAACATTGGATCCCTATCATTACGAACATTAACCATGGTTAATTTTAGACTATCATGAGAATCCGAGTGAAAATTTATCACAAAATAACAGCAGGATCTTTTAGAGCATATAGTCCTCAATAAGACATTTATGGTAATTCTTTATAGGATAAATCAATACTGCGTGAGATGAAAATGAACGTAATTCAGATAAGGCCGTGTCCCGGAGCTCTGATTAAGAGCAGGATCCGGATCTGCGTTTATTTTCACTCACCAGCAGCTGAAGACTGGGCTTTCTCCGCCATATTCCCGCACACGACCGAGACTTAAAGAGACAAACACACGGAACTCAGCTCGCATCCAGAAACACAAGAATCACTGCGCATTTACCCAGAAATAAAGCATCTCAGCACGCGAGGCGATCACGAGCTGACTCGATACACGCTTACAATATTCCTGCATTTGAATAGGTAGCCTATACATGTAGTTAAATGTAAATGTGTATATACTTTATAAAGTGCGCACTGTAATCTTTCAAGTGCGTTTGGTTTCTAATGTGTTCTGGTAGGCTAATTATTAAATAAAACTAATTTCTGCTAATAATCACAAAGAAAACACTTAAAACATGTATATTTATTCATTTAACAAAAAATAAGATACAAATATATTTTTTTTATTAAAAAAATATTTTTATATTTTTGTATTATGTCACTAGATTGGATTTTGAGTGCTGTTTTCAATTAATTAATTTGAAAATTCTATAATATTCTAATTATATTCTTTAAAAAAAACTTGGCCCTTTTAGACTTGCACTCTATCGATTTACTGCTTGTTTTATCTTTTTCTAATCTTTTTGTATTCTGTTTGTTTTCGTTTTATTTATTATACAATTTACAAAAGCAAAATAAAATGTATTATATAATTTTAAAAAATTACTATGTGTACTGCATTAAGCTAACTGAGACTTGTTATAGCACTTGCATATCATTGCTCTCTTATTGATTTTGACTGCTTTTATTGTTCTCATTTGTAAGTCGCTTTGGATAAAAGTGTCTGCTAAATGACTAAATGTAAATGTAAATAGACTTAAATCTTTATCTTTACAGTTGAATTGAATACAGTCGAATGATGTTGCGGGGTTTCTATAAACCTGTAAAAAAAAATCTGCACCAATATATATATATATATATATATAATTTATTTTTTTCACACAGATAAATGATTCTCTTGCAGAGATGATT